TATATATATTATGCACTACAAAGAAGTGGTAGAAACTGATGCACTATGTCATTTGCCATTCAATTGATGGTGATCAAAACGGATGTATTTGAAATTTAAATTTATTAGTAATGATCATTTTTAGAGGTATGTATGCAAAAATACATAGAAATTACCACCGAATTGGATGGGGTGTGTAATAAATCTTCCAAACTTGTGCTACTTAATTTCCTGTAGAATCAACTTGCCATTTAACCCTTCTAACCATGTAAGCCAATTTGGTTGGTGATATAGCAGCAACAAGACAACAACCATAAGCTGGAGACCAATATCATACATCAAACGACACGGGAGAAAAAAATTTCGCTATAAATTTATGGTGTTGTTAACACATTCAGGCTTTATAGTTGCATGAATCTATGCTTCTCGGAGTTTGCAAACCGAAAATATTTTTGTAAAGCAGAGCAATTAACTTGTGTGCTTGACGAGTTAACGTGCCGCAATAACACACATTCTGATTAAATAAAAAAAAGAGCTGAATGGATGGAAATGGAACATATCAGCTATGTCTACACATCAAAGCTCCGTCAACAACAGAGGTAATAAAGCAAAATGACGCACTCCTCATCATCGGAGCTCTTTGTACACCGATCGGATCGCCACTGTCTTCCTAGCTAGCCTTTCGGGGTGCCGCCTTGCAGATCGAGCGAAAGCGATTTGCAACGGCCAACGGCTCCGGACTCCGATCCTTGGAAAGGGGAGACGAACTCGGCGTCGGCGTGGAGAGGAATATCGGCGACAGGGCTCCCGTCCGAAAGAGTAGTTGAGGAGACGGCGTGCGAGAGAGAGGGGGAACGGGGCAGGACGTGCGGACTATTGCCCTAACTCTGATTTCTGAAGTCGATCTGCCGACGGTGGCTTTGTACAAGAGCCGAATATGTACAATCAGGCGCGCTAAAATTTAAGGGGGGCTTTCAAGAGGCGTCCGCCTCATAACTTATATCATTTATTCATTGGGACAATTACATACAGACCTCCCGAAAGTTGATATTTACAAATCAATCATTATCTTTCATACATTTTTTCTTAATTGTGACACGCGTGGATATGCTGTTCACTGGTTCGGAAAAATCACCTCGGGATTGGTTTATAAAAATAGATGTTTCAAGTGGTCTGTATGCAATTTTCCCTTAATTATTTATCAAATTAAAGGTGCAGCTTCTACTTCCCAATAAATTTATAAATGGGGACTCCATATTCAACATTTCAAATATGAATATATGCAAGAAAATATTATCCAATGTTTCTCTCTTCTGTTTTTTCACTCAAGTTATGTTGAGTTATTGTGAGTGTAAGCATTGAAAATTACACGTCAATTTATTTCTTTCCTTGTGCTTTGCTCCTTTTGCAATACCATCCTCCCACTTTTCCTCCCACCGCTTTCTCAATTTTGTTGGATGGACCACCATCTCTATGTTCTATGAGAATTGAGTGTAGGTTTGTACATTGAACTGCAACCTCACATCTCCCTCGCCTCCTCCGTCCTTGAAACCCTCTGATTAGGGTTGTAATCGATTTGAGCCGAGACGAGCCGAGTTTAACAGTGTTCGGACTTCAATTGGTATGATTGTAACTTGTTCATATTCGATATGAGTTTGTGTCGAGCTTTTATACATCGTTTAAGCTTTATTTGTTTAATTTTTTTCAATGTTTGAGTTTGATGTGTACTTGATTTGTTCATGATAAATGAACAAGTATTTAAACAAGCTAATGAACGAGTTAAAATTCAAATGAGAATTTAGATTTTGATATAAAAAATTTAATAAATAATTTTGTAATTATAATCACAACTACTAATATATCAATTATGTCTCTAAATTCTTTGAACTTTACTAATAACTGCACAATTTTTATTGATAGTACTACACTAATTCAAATTTTGAAAGTGAAATAACTAAATCGATCCTCAAAATTATAAAGATAAACATTTACTTAAGCATGTTATTAAGAAAATAATAGCAATAAGGCAAACAACATTAATGTTGTTGATAGTTATATGTGATGGTCATAAAATATTGAACTCATTACATTGGAGTTAAGAAAACTCTATAAGAAAGAATTTTATAACACTCTCTTTAGCTTTAAATAATTTATTATTAAGTATTATTTACTTATTAATAAAATAAATATATAATTAATAATTAAACTAAAACTATTATTGATATAATAATATATTAATATTAAATTTATGATTAAATAAATTCTAGCTAATTAGATTTATTTATATATATATATATATATCTATAATAGACGGGTTATTATCGAGTTTAGTATTGAATATTTAACATATTATTTGTAGAACGATAAAAGAGTTTGTTCGTGAACATAAACAAATAAGTTTGGCTATGTTCATATTAAGTTCATTTAAACTTCTTGCTTATAAAAATTGTTCATGCTTGTTCATTTACTAATTTTAAATAATGTGATCTAGTCTTAATCGAGTCGAGTTCAAATTGTTCATCGAGTGCATTGGTTCATTTACAGTCGTGCCTTTGACTCTCATCACTCTGTCATTGTTTTGCTTAAAACTAGTGATAAGTGATTGAGCCATGCAACACAATTGCATTTAGAGCCACATAAGACGACAATGATGACATCGCGTCGTGCAAAGGAGAAATTATTGCATACGAACACCGCATACATTTCTGCATGCGGTGTCCGATCCTGGCAGTAGATCGCGGTGATCTACGGTCATGATTATTTCAGTTTTTTTTTTTTTAATTTAGGTGGTGCCCACCAAAATACATCCTGGTCGTAAATCACCTCAAGATCGGACACCACACGCAAGATGCTTGTGGTGTCCGATCCGTATGGAATAATTTTTCTGTGCAAAGACGACCTACTTCCTCCTCCTTACCTCTACTCTTGCACGAAACCGTCGAGGAAGGTATACCTTGTCCTCCATCACGCATGTCAGTCTCACTGAATTCTATAAATCCCCATCTGGATCTCCTAATCCAGGATTTTAGATAAGACGAGGAAGAAATGTGATTTAAGAACTCGTAGTGTTTGATAATATTATTTTATATTCCTTAGATTAACTTTCATGCATGTAAATCCCCAAAATTTTATTTAAAAATAAATATTTTTCTCCCCATCAAAATAATTCAAAAACGTTATTTTATTTTAATGGTTAGTTAAGCCAAGTTTAATCAGGTTAGTAAATTCTTATTTTTAAAAATATAATAATAATAATAATAACAATAATAAAAAAAATATTAATGAGTTGATTTTGTTGCATCAAATTTCATAAATAAATATGTTTAATTTCATAAATAGTTTATCTTATTTTTTATTTGGTATAGTCAATACGTCAAGTTCATAGAGTATTGTTAGAAACGGTGGAGCCCGATCCACTATGCTTGGGCGGTTACTTTGTTTTTGAGAGTCATACCTCTTCACAAATAATCACTGTCGTCTTCCTCTTTTGTGAAGTAAAATATCTCTTTGCTCCCTCCTGTTCGTCATAAAAAACTTCGAATGACTCTCCCAAAAATAGTAGTAGTCCCGCTTTCAGTTCTTCTTCGATTTTCTCGGGATAGAAGAAGGTTTTCTCGGGGCAAAGGAAGAGAAGTGCAAGGAGGAGCAGTTCATTGCGGCAGGAGGAAGTAAAAGGAAGAAGAAGAAGATTGTTCTCCCTAAACTTCTTCTTGGTGGCATGTGGCAGAAGAGAAATTGAGTTTATTTCTCTTGTAAGTTTGTCTTCTTCGGTGTATCTCGGTATAGAGTTTTATTCGGTGTATCTCAATATAGAGAGTGAATAACAGAGAGAGAAGAAGAGAGAGAGCAACAAAAAGTGAGAGATTCCTCTTGTATGTCGAGGTGATTGACTGGTGTAAATTCCTCAAGTAGTAATAAATTCAAGTAGTAAAATCCTCTGCAACTCTATGGACGTAGGTAATTTGTTGAACCACATAAATCTGTGTGTTTCGCTGTGCTGTTCTTTTCTGGTGTGATTTTTCTCGTTGTATTTTTTCGTTTCATCGTCGATCATTCTTCTATTTTATTTATATACCACAACAACTGGAGTATATCTAAATCTCAAAAAAAACAACAACAACTGGTATCGGAGCGTGGTTTTGGATCTGAGGAAGAATGATGATTGCAGATGAAATGAAAGTTTCAGAGATAGAGAAGTTTGATGTCATATATTTTGGTTATTGGAAAATGCAGATAAAGGATTATCATTATGGGAATAAACATCATATTCCGTTATTGGGGAAAAGACTTGAAATGATAGATGGGGCTGAATGGAATTTATTTGATCGACAAGTTCTGAGGGTTATTTGATTGACCCCAACGAGGTCCGTTGCACACATCGTCGTTAAGGAAAGGACGACTGCAGATCTCATGGCAGCCTTATCAGGTATGTATGAAAAGTCATCGACGAATAACAATGTACACTTGATAAAAAAGTTATTCAATTTAAATATGACAGAATATGTTTCTGTTGCTCAACACCTGAATGAATGATTTTAATACTATTTTAATACTATCACAAATTAATTGTCGTCTATGGAAATTGATTTTGATGATGAGATATGTGCACTGATCTTGTTAGCTTCATTATCAGATAGTTGGGAAGTCATGAGGATAACAGTTAACGGATATGCATGTAAATCTAAACTGAAATACGATGATATTCGTGATTTGATTTTGGTTGAGGATATTCACAAGAAAGATTCTGACGAGGTCTCAGGTTCAAGTTCGACACTGAATGCTGATTTAAGAGAGATGGTATGATAGGAACTCAAATATAGAGAGATCAAAATCAAAGTTTAGTAAGCAGACAACCTGTTGAAATTATGGCAAGGCTTGCCACATAAAGAATAACTGCAGGAATTTTAAGAAGATAGAGAATGATAGCGCAAATGTGATATCTGAATAATCACATGATGCACTATGTTGGCAGTTTATAGTTCTGTTGAAGACTTGATGTTGGATTCAGGGGCTTTGAATATGGTATGAAATGCACTAGGGGCCATAGTGCAGGGCAGTGATGGAAGTGAAGAAAAAAGTGAGTCCGGGACACCTATTCCTATTGTTCCACAGACAGATGTTGAAGAACCACGGAGCTATGAAGAAATATTGCAAGATAAAAGTTCAAGCAAGTGGGAGTTGGCGAACTTCTACCAAGGAAGTAGGCATTGCACAATAAGTGGGTGTACCAGGTGAAGACTGAGTGTGGTGTCAGTATGAGGTATAAGGCTAGACTTGTTGAAAAAGGCTTTTACCAGAAGCATGATGTTGCCTATGCAGTAAGAGTTGTAAGAAGAGACGAGTGATCAAATAACTTGGAGGTGCAAAGATATGTGGAGTCTGATGACATGTTAACTCAGGGTGTTACTCTTGAGAAACTGAAGTTTTGCACAGCTTCAGTTAGTCTTCTAGAGTGAAGACAGTGCTTTGAGTTGTAAAGGTGAAAGATTTAAGGTGGAGGATTCAAGGTAGATGATACATGTTGAAGAAAAAGGTGACACCGCCCGCGGAGGATATTAATTTGAGGAAGGAGATGTTGCAGGATGTGTACCGGTCTCCAAGTGGGAGATTTGTTAGAAACGGTGGAGCCCAATCCACTATGCTTGGGCTGTTACTTTACTTTGGAGAGTCACACATCTTCACAAATAATCACTTATGTCTTTCTCTTTTGTGAAGTGAAGCTTCTCTTCGCTCCATCCTGTTCGTGATAAAAGCTCCGGATGACTCTCCTTGGGTTTAGTAGTCACTGTTTTAGTTCTTCTTCGGTTTTCTCGGGATAGAGGAAGGTTTCCTCAGGGCAGAGGAAGAGAAGTGCAAGAGATAGTTCCTTGTGGTGAAGAAAGAAGAAGGAAGAAGAAGAAAATTGTTCTCTATAGGCTTGTTCTTGGTGGCTTGTAATACAAGAAAAATTGGGTTTATTTCTCTTGTGCTTGTTTCTTCTTCGGTGTATCTCGATGTAGAGTTTATTCGGTGTATCTCGGTGTAGAGAGAGAAAAAAAGAGAGAGAACAAGAGAGATAGAGCAACGAAGAGTGAGAGTTTCCTCTTGTAAGTCGAGGTGATTGACTGGTGTAAATTCCTCAAGTAGTAAAATCCTCTGCAACTTCATGGACATAGACAATTTGTTGAACCACATAAATCTGTGTGTTCCGTTGTGATGTTCTTTTCTGGTGTGATTTTTCTCGTATTTTTTCGCTTCATCCTCGATCGTTCTTCTATTTTATTTATATACCACAATAACTGGTGTATATCTAGGTCTCAACAAGAACAACTTCAATGATAATTCAATAACTCCACAAAAACCACAATAAATCAATTAACCTCAATAACTCCACAAAAAAACACCAATAACAAAAAAAATCGTTACAACTCCACAATAACACTAGTCCAGAATAACATACCAGAGTCATCGTAATACCACTCATATAAAACCAAAATAACGCATAAATGACACCACAATAATATCGCAATAACACAACAAAAACACTGAAATAACACCATTAAAAAATACTAGCATAACGACCACATTATCATTCAAATAACACCACAATAAACCTTAATAACAAAAAAAAAATGCAATAACACAACAACCACCGTAATATTACTCAAATAACACCATAATAAACTTTAATAACATCTCAATAGCTTCACACAAAAAAAACCCGCAATAACACTAAGTATAATAACACCAAATAAGTTCAATAACTTCACAAGAAATCACAATCCCACTTAAATAATGTCACAATAAACTTCAATAACTAAAAAAAAAATTGCAATAATATCAAATAAGTACAATAACACCAAATAACCTCAATAACTAAAAAAAATCAATAACATCATAGTCGCCGCAATATCACTCAAATAACGTTATAATAGACCTCAATAACACAAAAATAGCCGCAATAATGGTTTGAAAAAAAATACAATACCACTCAAATAACATTAAAAAAACTGCAATAACACGACAATCGCTCTGCAATACTACTAAAATAACATAACAATAAACATCAATAACTCCATAAAAAAACTATAATAAGATTTTGAAGCAATGAACATTCAGGTCTCGTTACACATTAAAATAAAATATTTTATTATTTTTTATTCAGTGGGACTGTCGCTTACAAATGAGCACATGGGATAAATTTTATTGGAATTTGGATGCAGTTTTGCGTAGGTCTAGCCATAGAAAAAAAATTTATTTTTTCGAATAAAATAGATAATGTGAATTTTTAAATATTTAGACTGCTACTTGTATTGAGTGCGGGCCGCAGTCCCCTTATGAGTTATGACCCGTTTAAACATTAAAAAAAAAGCCCAAAAACAAGAGAGCCGAAACAGAAAAGTAGAGAACTATAAAAACGGCGTTCTCACGGATGAGAGGATTCTGACCAACGGCCAGGATTGACTACATACCTTCCCTCGAGATCCGTCACCGAATTCAGCATACCTTACTATTCTTCGCGCTTTCCTCGGCCTATTAAAGGAGAGAGAGAGGAGAGAGAGAGAGGAGAAACGGGCAAGGCAAAGAAGAGGAATGCTAATGGGGAAGAGGCCGCGCACTCCGATTAAGAGAACGACAAGCCTGAAGGAGCTGTCTCCCGATCTTTCGGCAGCAACCTCTCCGGCAGAAATCCTACCACCGCCTCCGTTGGCAGAGCTCTGGCGGGATGGAAAGCTGCCGCCTTCGCCGGCGCCACGGAGGGGCTTGAAGAGGAGGTGCTCCGGAGATCCTTCCGTAGCAGAGGCCGCCCCCTTCCTCACGGCTTGTGGTCTCTGCAAGCGCAGCCTCGGCCCTGGTTTTGATACTTTCATGTATAGGTATTTATCTATAGAAGATCCTAATCTAATAAACCATGCAAATCTTTTTATACTATTCAGGATGATCGCAGATTTCAGTATTCTCAAAACTTTTCTTATTATTCCTAATTTAGATTCGGGCGTTTCGCCATTTATTAGGGTTTTTAGATTCCGCTGCGATTAACCGATGAGCTGACAATCCTTTGTTTCTTCCATAACCTCGTTTTGGGTTTCCCTGAAACACCTGCTGTACCGAAAGATGAACTGATTTTTTCTATTATTATTATTTTTTATTTATAACTCTTTGTTCAGATTTCTGAGCTCGATGCTGCACAATGCAACTTCAGACATATTGAATTTTTTTTTTTTCTCTAGTTCTCGTTTAATTCATGCCTGCATTCATGGATATATATCTCTTTGATCTTTTGGTTATTAGTGTATGTTTGGATTGTTTCATGCTTTTATGCCTACTTCCATCCATTCATACGAAATTATGCTCCTGACATTTATTGTAATTTCCTTTCTGGTCATTTATGGTTTAAGAACTCTACTAGTTCTTAATCTGTACTGATGAGCTCCTGACATATATTGAAATTTCATATCTGATCATCTAAACATCAAAACCTTGTCGGATTTTTGATGTTTATGGCGCTGAACGTTGGCCTTTAAAAGAGAAGCATAATAATAAGTTAAGTGTTGCCGAGATGAGAATGATTATGTGGATGAGTGGCTTTACACTTAGAGACAAAATGCAAAATGAATATATCCGTGATAGGGTTGGTGTAGCTCCTGTGACGGACAAAATTAGAGAAAGTTGTCTTAGATGGTTTGGTCACATTAAACGTTGACCATCTGATGATCTGATTAGGAGAGTAGATGTTTTATATTCGACTTGTGTTAAGAAAGGCAGAGGTAGACCTAGGAAGACTTGGGCTTATTGTATTAAAAATGATCTTAATTTACTAGAACTAAATGAAAATATGACACCAAATAGGACGCAATGGAGAAAAAGGATTCATGTAGCCGACCCCACGTAGTGGGATTAAGGCGTTATTGTTGTTGTATCATCTAAACATCAAAACATTGTCAAATTTTTGGGGGCAATGTTACTGTGCCAATAATAGATCTCAGAAGGGTAATTGAACAAAATATTTTAAAATGTATTGCCAATAAAATTTTTCATGTGTTACCTCAATTTAGTGTTAATTGTCATATCAAACAACAATGATATGATCAAGGGTAATCTTGCATCAAATTACTTGAAATTGCTATTGTTTTGCATATTCGTACCTAAGTTTTCGTCACAACATTAATGTCCTCGAGTCTCATTGTTTGAGAGTTAGTTACGAAATTTGAGTGGTTGCGAAAAAGATGGCCCTAACAATGAAGCATAATAAAAACGTAAAATTTTAATGGATGAGTGGTAATCAAAATTGGTTAGATTGATACTATATCTTTCATTTGCTACAATATCCTTAATCTTTGTCAAAGGAGAATGAGCTTTTCACAATCAAACTTGTTAGTTTATGGTAGTAGTATGAATGTTCTTTTATTTTTTATTTTAGGAAAAAGTTTATTCGTTTTAGAAATATTCTGTTTTTTTCACACCAATTTCACAACTTATTTTCGAGACAAATGAATCCATTCCAAACATATATTGGATTATATATTGGATAGTAGAAATAGCACTTTTAAAAAAATAAGGCAATGTAATATAAATAAGTGATTCATTATGCTGATTGTGAATAGATGGGATAAGGTGGATGACAATGAAAAACCAATTAATTTTTATTTCTATATTATCTCCACAACTAGAGCTTCGTTCGATGTTCTCAGTGCCAGTCTCTGTACTCGTCTTTATCAAAATTCACTTGAAAAAAAAAATGTCATGGAGCTGAATGTTTCTTTCATTTTACAGGGGAGAAGTTGCTTTCTGCAGCAGCGAATGCAGAGAAAAGCAGATAACCATAGATGAGAAGAAAGGGAGGAAGAAGTGCTCTTCTCCTGCTATTGTAAAGAAAGCTGAACTTCCTCCGCCTCCAAAGAGCTCTGAATCATCTGCGGGCAATGAAACAATTGTTGCTGCGTAAACAGTAAAGTTTATCTCTTTTCTCCCTCTGCAACTCTCTGCATCATATACCATCAATACAGGCAACATGTCTGAGCTCCATGTTTAAGCAAATTAGATTGGTATTGGTTTTGTTCGTCTCATTTTCTCAGCTTCAATGTGAACATAATGTGTATTTTTTAGATTTTAGAAGTTATGAATTCTCCATTTCATACTTATCATTGAGTGAAATAGAGCGAGTTATGCAGTGATTTACAGCGTGGTTTTTTGTATTTCTTCAAAGAAAACTTTCTTTTATGAATTTATGACATGGAGAGATCTTATAGCTTTGTTGGGTATGACCTATAATCCTCAAATAAACACGTCTTTAAAATGAATATATTTTTAGTTTAGGTATTTATTTCTTTTTGTATAGTTGATATAAGCATAAGTATATTTTCTTAAACTTTTCAATGCTTTTAAGAATGTAACGAAGGAAATAATTTGGAAATAAGTAAGATTTGTTTTTTCATCACCTTTTCCTAACTGATCCCACTTATTGGGAATCGGCATAATGAATCTAATTTTTCATTTATTCTTATTGAATATACATTAAACTATGTATATATATATAGATAGATAGATAGATACTAAAAAAAATTAAGTTTTTTTTAGTATCTATAAGGCCCTTCAACATTTTTGGTCCCCTACACCTTTAAACACTGTAAATATTATTTTGAGTAATTGTACCTAGCACATAATGGTTCAGAAGGATATGTAATATAAAATTATCATGAACTCAACCACAAACTTTAGGGATTTTTTTGGATTTTGGGTTGGACAAAAAAGTATTTAACAAATAAATTTTGCAAGATTTTGATAATTGTAAGAAAAATATTTGATTTTTTCCCGACAACGTTTATAGCTTCCTGCCTTCAAGCCATTATCACCATCTGCAAAATTTTAAATCACATTTACAGCATAAAAATAAAAAGAAATAATTTTCGAGCAATATATATATATATATATATTTATAATCCAAACTGATTCCAAATATATTATAACAATAAGTGGGATCAGTTTGGAATGTTTACATGTGTTTGAGAAAATTATGTAATAAATGTGAAAAAAACATAACTTTTGAAAGTTAATATGAGCACTATAAACGTTGTCTGGGGAAAAAAATCAAATATTTTTCTTACAATTATCAAAATCTTGCAAAATTTATTTGCAACAATTTGTTAAATAGTTTTTTGTCCAACCCAAAATCCAAAAAAAATCCCTAAAGTTTGTGGTTGAGTTCATGATAATTTTATATTACATATCCTTCTGAACCATTATGTGCTAGGTACAATTACTCAAAATAATATTTACAGTGTTTAAAGGTGTAGGGGACCAAAAATGAAATGACAATAAATGAAACTTGAAGGGCCTTAAAGTAATGTACCCTACAATATTATAGCATTAACACAAACTCAACTAAACATTAATTATTCATCCAAAATTTTCGTTTTACTCAATTTGAAAAGGTCCATATGTGATGAATACAGTGACATGCAAGTAAGCATCCTGAACAAGTTAAAATGACTTTTTGTTATTTGAAACAATAGGGACATAGGCTATTTCATATCAGAGAAAAATGAATCATCCTTTTCTGCCTACAAAACAAATGAATATTGATTATTTCTTGGAAGATTTGCTTCCGTACCACTCAATTCCTATGTATTTACATATTTAACTCCTAATCAACTTTAAGTTTTTATATACATAACACCTGCTATGGATGAAAATGTGTATTTCACTTTTTTAGAGTTAAAATATTCATCATCCTCGTTATAGCTTTACATAAAAGAAGAAGGGCAAGAAAGATCAGAGTCACATATATCCATGCGTGCAGGCAAGAAAAACATTATATCAATATCTTGAGTTGCATTGTGCAGTATCTAACCCAGAGCTCTTAGCGAAGCGTTATAAGAACAAAAAAAGGTTCATTTTTTAAGATAGAGCACTCTTTTAGGTTCTCAGTGCAACCCTAAAACAAAGTTATTGAAGAAAGCAAACAAATGCCCATCATTTGTTGCAATGTGTGATTGTTTTTTTATGAGCTTGATAAAAGTTATATTTGTCAATATATTTAATTTGTATGAAGTATAATTGTTAATGCATATCTTTTTAAATTTAATGAATTTGTTAAACTTAGAGTTGTCCGGGAATCACACCTAAGGAATGGAGCGTGAAAACGAGAGAGATATGAGAGGGATGATTTATTTTTGTATGTGGTTTAAACTTCTATTATGTTTGATGATTCTCTATCTCTTTATAATTGGTCTAACTCCCAATTAATCGACTTTATGGTTCAGCTGGCCTCTAGGTCAGTTCCTCTTTGGCTGGCCGCTCGATCAGTCTTCGACCGATTTACTATTGTCACTCGGCCGTTCCCCCCAAATATCTATGTTTATCATTGTAGAGCTCTTGCTCAACTTGGAATCGTTCGTTCCCTGGAAGATTAGGTTATTGAAATAGTTGTTTTTTATGCAGTCATTGAAGAAATGAAACATACGCTTTTCTTCTCTCTTCTGTCTGTGTCCATGCACCTATTTGTGACACCAAAGTGTTTTAATTCTAAATATTACGTTCTGGTTGTTATATATGTAAATATATAAGAATTATAGGATATACATGTAAATTTCCCTGTGAAGCCGTCCATGAAAAAATAAAATTGTTGAGAACAACTGTTACCAGATTTTGTCAGCTTTTTTGAAGACACAGCAACCAACGAGCGAGCATTGCAGTATTTTTTTTTATCGCTGGGAATTTTGGTTGTATTTTGCACTTTTCATTGAGATCCTATTTTAATGGAATAATTATTAGTAGCTAGTTATGTGGCTATTTATTTATTTTTCTGTAATTTCATATGCTGTGCTAAATGCTGAAAACTAAATATGGACATATATATAATTAAATAATTTTAATAGAGAAAGCATAAAATATATCATTTTTAGCTATTTGAAAATGTGATTTAAAAAACATATTATCGGAATTTTTTCTTTTCAAAATTATGGGATTTCGTCAAATTTATTTAGTGAATATTTAATAATTATATGTAAAGAGGATTTGATAGAAAGTCTCTCTTAAAGTTTAAAAACACATTTTTATCACTAATTTCTAACTTATATTTTCCAGTACAATTTAACTTTAAATAAAAAAAAATTTAAGTTTTTTTTTTTTTTTTGCATGTAATTTTGCTCTTGCAATACTATAAATTAATAATTAGGGGTGTTAATTCGGGTCAAGGGGTCGAGTTTAGGCCGACTAGAATCAAACCTGAATATCCAAAATCAACATTCCTTCAAATCGTAAGCCAAACCCGACTCGTATAACCCATTTAATATAAGGAGTAATAGCTGTCTGAGTTTCGATCAGGTCAACTTTGAGTCAATTTTGAATCGGCAAGTCGATTTAAAGTGGATTTAGGTTTGGTGCGTTTAAGTGACTCGAACAATCAAATAATTGAAGAAATTTAACTTGAATCCGACCCGACAAAGACATGTCGGTCTTTCTGAATAAAATCAAACTATATTTTGGAATAAAAAAGAATTAATGATATTTCCGACAAAGACATGTAGTTCTTTCTGAATATTGTTAATCAGATAATATAATCATGTTTTAACAGTATTTTTATATCAGCCAACCACTAGGATTTTCTAAACTCCTACAAAATAATTACGCTATGTATTTTTTAAATACCGACCAAGTAGTTTTATTCTTTCAAATGTGCCTTCCACCTTTTTTCACTAGTTTTATTCTTTCAAAATGATTTATTTATCTTTGAATAGTGGGTGGGAGAGAGGGGGAGAGGGGGAGAGGGGGAGAGGGGGATGAGGGTGAGAGGCTGAGCTTTTAGAGTTCTAAATAGGGTAGAGTTAAATGGTTAAAAAAAGAAATGTAGCATAAAAGGAACATAATAAAATGGAAATATAATGTATTGAATAGTAAATATAGTTGCTTGCATGAATGCATTAAAGTTGGATTTATTTATTTTTCAATGTTTGAATATATTCACTTATATAGTCAAAAGGCCAATCATAAATAAATATTAGTCATAATGCTCCGTGTTTGAGTGCAATATATCCATAAAACAACATCTCTTAGAAAATAAATAACATAGAGTAATTAAAACAAAAAAAAAGGGAAATATAGAAAAAACTTAAGAAATAATATCAGAAAAATTCAATAAGTATTTTTAAATGGAAATTGGTATTATTCCTCAAGTTTTTCCTATTTTTTTCTAATTTTTTTAAAGTTTTATTTACTCTTTCTTATTTATTTTCTAAGAGATGTTTTACGAATATATTACAATTTAACACGGAGCATTATAGCTGATACGTCACCAACAAATTTTCATCATCCGACACGAATCTCGAGGCATGACATGAATCTCTTAATAAAAAGTTATCAAATATTGAAATCTTAATAAAAAGTTAATAAAAATTTATCCAGAGCTCAGATTTCAGCAAACTTATAGTCAAACTGACCGGCTTGATGAGGCGGATCTATTGATATGAAAACTAGCCCAATTCGAGTCAAATCAAGCCCAGATCAAGTAATTGAATCGTAACTAATTGATTTTCGGACACATTTCAAAAAGTAATGGGTTGTCGAATATAACAAGTTTATACTTGAATCGAGTTACTCGACAAGATGAATCCAACGAGCTCAAGATCCTTCAATTCTGACATCATTAAGACACTCAAATGTCCAAAAAACACTGTATGATCAAGGGAAGCTTTCCGGATCGTCCGATCAAAATGATTCATATTCCTGCATTAATTGCACCCGGAACAGTATAAATAAAGCATCATCCCTCTTATGAGGAGGTTGAAGTCTGGAAAGAGAGCCTGAGACCATGAGGAGAAGTTGTAGTTTCACATCACCGTCGATCGTTGTCGAACACCGCCGACCTCCTTCGTCGACCACAGCTAACCTCCGTCGTCGACCCCCGTTGATCGCGGTCGACCATCGTCGATTACCGAAGACCATCACCGATCGTCGTCGACCTCCGCCAATCGTCATCGATCACCACCAACTAGACGCTGTCGGTCAACATCGTAACTGTAGGATAATTAATTTTGTAATCATCAATCAATAGTGAATTTTTGCAACTAGACAAGACCTCGTGGTTTTTCCCTTTACGGGCTTTTCACGTAAAAACTTCTAAAGTAGTCACTGTTTTTTTCTTTTTCATCTGAGTGTGTCCAAAATTCTCATACAATGCTAAGACGATAATCCATTACTCTACCGTCGCGAATTTTCTGGCACGCATCAATAGCTCATATTGGCAAATTTATGATTGGCCTTTTGAGTATATATAAGTGAATATAAAAGCAATAAGTGTTTCTTTTAATAGCAATTTCTGATTTTCATTTGATTTCCTGATATTAAATCACTTTTTTGTTCTATTTATATATTATGCTTTGATTTCCTGATATTATGCTTTTAAACCCGCATTCTCTCTTAGATTTAGATTTTTATTTATATGGATGACAATTTGGTTTATTGCCCTCCTGAAATATCACTTTGCTATTCGTTGTTCTAAAACCTCTCACGTTTGTCTACAGTTTACTGTCCCCATAATAAAAGAGGTTGATTTCACCCTTGATCATATTGTTAACCTTCATAATGCTTCATCTTTCCTTTCACATAAGATTGTCTCATCGGTATAAAATTCCATTCACCAATATATATATATATATATATATATATATATAATCCTTTCAAAAATTTAAAATCTCAATGATTATTGAGAAGAAAAATAAACATAGTGTAAATTTTGAATATATTTGAAAATCCCACTTTAGTGTACTTTTAATGTATTACAAATTAAATTAATTAAGGCTAATTTTAAATATATCACTTGAACAAAATGTGTTGAATTTATCCTACTTAAAAGGTCAACTATAAAATTTGTCATTAATATCCATAATGTTTAGTGTTAAATTCTTCATATGTCTGTGAAACCATTCAAGTTAGAAAAAAAATTGTAAAGAGCAATGCAAATCCAAAAAAGCAAAAAGAAATAGGAAGAATTTGGTGAAGATCATAAAAAATTACTATATATTTAATATATTTTACATAGAGAACTTTCACAGGACAATGCATACGTTAGCAGATTTTATGAGCCCAGAATGCCTACTCTTCTATTTTACGAAAAAAAAACTCGGACTTCTTTTGTTGAGCTCAATTGTCGAATTGGCTTATCGAGCTTAGCAGTCAAATTGGTTTATCAAGCTCACTTGTTGCTAGTATGCTGAGCTCACCCATCAAAGTGATATGCCAAGCCATTTGTAATTGCTCATCGAGATTTAGAAACCACTAACAAAGATGGCATTATTTACAGACGGCCATGCATCCATATTTAATTTAGAGTTGTGTGACATTCACATCCCTATATCCTCACAAGAACATGATCTACATTTTACTTTCCCCCTTCTTTCCGCCTGTCGGAGAGGGTGAGAGAGAAAGAAAGAGCATAGGATTAGAGATATAAATTTAGATGTCTCCCACTTTACAAAGAGGATTGCGCAACAAATTGATCCTTCCATTTATCTCTATTTCTTTCTCTTTCTCTTTCTCATCTCTATGTATTTAAATTTTCAATATTTCTTTCAAAAACAAGGTCTCTCTCATGTTGTATGAGTCCATGAATAATATGGGAGCCCATGCCTTAAAATGATTCAACACATGGTTCACTATTTAATTGCCACATTAATGAGACAATATAAAAAAAAAGTTGAATATATAGCTCATTCGCTTCGAAAATCTATTAGACTCCTTAACTAATTGATGAAGTCAGATTGACCTGCAAAGAGAGCTAGCTAAAATGATTTGATGTCAATTGCTTGTTTAACATGTTGATCGATTTAGCTAATTAAACTGCTTTGTTGAGTTGGTTGATATAACTAAATAGACTTGTTGCATGCTAGATAATTTTCCACAGCTAAGAAATTTTGTTTTAGCTTAGTATAACTTTTTAGCGCGTGAATGGAGTTGTAAGAGGTAGCAAAACTTTTTACAGGGATAAAACCCTAAAAAAAATCACGGGATTTGACTCAATAAATATAATCTAATTATAAATTGAAAGTACCAAGATTCACACTTCTCATGATATAGAGAAGATGAGATTATAAAAACTAACACACCAATTTATAACAGTTTTGCTATAACAATTGTAGTTTGACTACAAAAATTATATTGGGTTATTACAATGGTCATAATTGATTGTAGCAATTACTAGTGATGGTTGATTGTGAAGTTGTGCCTAGTGACGAAATGTGGCGGAAGGCGACAAACTGTGGTGATTGATAACAACCGTTGAAACTTTAAGAGTTAAGTTTTAATTGTCAGTTCACTATCTTATTTGCTTTTCTCTCCCTTCAAATGAAAAATTAAGGTTTATTTATAGTTTTTAGAGGATCATTTTTTTGTAAATTTGATAAATTTCTTGAAACACTTTTTCGGACAGTCCACGTTGATTCCCTTGACGACAAGTAACTTTTTTTTAACATTGTAGCATCTTGATGACATCAAAATTGAGTGAACTTGGAGTCGTTAGATTTAACTTATCGAGACGTTCGATTTGAATAGAAGCATGACAGATTTTGATATAATTTAGCCTGCTGACTGATGCACCAAGTCATTGACTATATTTTAATAGTTTGATATTGACTCATTTGAAATTGAATTAGATCCCTTTCAACATTATTAGGTTCATTTTGTAAAGACACTTGGCTTGATTATAAACTTGATGAGATTGGGGCCTTAATGATCTTCAATTTGGATTTAAACTATTGTTTTGCTCACTATGATTTATGATTTGTGTCTAATGATAAAAAATTCTCGATGATACATAAGTTGCTTCTTATTTTTGGACGTTGATGCTATTATCGTCCAAAAATATGTCTTTGGTAAATTCTTAATCGTAAATTTTATACTCTATAAATTTGTGTGTTGATTGAAAGAAGAACTTTAACATTTTAAATGATCAAAATTGAAAAAATGCCAAAATTGAGTCCAAATTATAAAAAAATAGTGAAATAAAAACTTCTTGAAAAAAAATTTGATCATGGTATTATGGTCATTGTTGGCGGCATTGTACATGTTTCATGAGCACACATGTGTGGTCTGGAGCACATGTATGTGTGTGCAAGCAAATTAACATAATTATGTGTTAGTGGATGTAGAAGGGTCTGCAGGTGAGCACAAGTATGGGTGATGACATAACAACTTGTGCAGAGGCAGGGGGGGATTGAAGGCAGCGTTGTGTGAGTCAGAGGATGCTGCAAAATGACATGTGAATTATCGTGCAAGCACGTGCATGTGCATGAGTGTTGTCTTGCGCATGTGCCTCATTAACGAGTGAGGGCGTGTGCGCCTATCAGTTTGCTAGTAGGGCTGATCGACCAATTTTAAATTATATATATATTTTTCTCTAAATTTCAACATTAAATAATACTCTCTGTGAGTATATAAGGCACACACCTCGTCTAAAGGTTATAATTGCTTTGACTATATGCAGTGGTTGTCTAATTTCTTTATGATATCACTATCTAACCATATTTGATTTTTTTTTTTATTTTTTGCTTACCCAAACTCAAGTAATTGATGCTTACCCAGTCCAAGTAGTTGATACCTTCAACTTGTTGTTGTCTACCCAAATTGAGGTAGTTATTGTGTTCATATTGTCATTGCCTACTCAGATTCAATGAGTTGTTGTGTTCAAGCTATTGTTGCCTCCCCAAATTAAGATAGTTTTTTTCCTTCATATTTGAAATAATTATGACCCATAATATAAAACAATGGACTTCCCTTGAAAGAGGCCTTGATCGTGCGTTCTTCTTTATGCAAACCTTATCTTTAGTAAGATATTGCTGTTATAAGTGATATCAATATCATTGAGAAAGTAGGAGAATATGTGAATGTTGGTTTTGATAACATAATAATAAACTACAGTTAAGACGTATATTATATATATATATTTTATAAATTTCACAGAGTGAACGATAAGTCGATAAAAATCAATGAGAACTTAGAAGGTCATAGAAGATCTAAAAAATATTTAGTGATAATCTCATAAAATGTAGTGATTTCATGAAATTCTAATAACTTTCTATAGTTTTTCTAAAATAAGGCTTCTCTTAATGTATGAGCTCGAGTGAAATTTATGATGTTGGTACTTGATGAGTTTTTTATATTTATGTAAGAATGTTAATAAAGGAGGTGGGTAGCCTTTTTGATGATATAAAGTATTAAAATTTTCTATTGATGTTTGACTTTAAATCTAAAGATGTGATGTGAAGGTTTTGGTAGAATCATAAAAGATTTAGGAGAGAGTCGTGGCTAAAATACGAAGACTTGTCTGAATTAGGCTAGTTTAGGCTTATCGCTTTGAAAAAGTGGCTTAATAATGAGTAAGTGCTTACAAATTATTATTGGCGGTTATTTTAAGATGTCTATTTATGATCTGGAGTATATGGGTTGGTTTGGATGGGTTTGCAACGATGTTTAGGGCTGGGGAATAAGACTAGGTCTTAATATGCTCTTATTTGGTCAAGATCTATGAAGAGGAGTTTGAAATGGTTGTGAGGCTTTGGTTGTTGGTTTGTTGATATTATAAGAAGCTCAGGACATGGATGAAGAGTGGTAAAGAGTTTAGGAGCAAATTTTATGAAATATTAATGAAGAACATAAAAAAAAAACAAAAATAAATACCTAATCTCATAAAAAAAAATGCCATACTGGAAGTCACAAAGCAACAAGTAACAAGAGAAAAAGTTCTCGCTCAAATATTTCATTCAACAATTGATCTAAAATATTACATATCAGTCATATTTATAAGGATTACAATGATAAAAAGTCAATAAAAAATATGAACTTTTGAAGGGTGGTAGGTGGCTATTAATGAAGGAAGTTGCTAGCCACCTTCCTAATTTATTATTAATTAATTAATTAAGTACGAACACCCCAATATGACTCGATTACAACCTTAATTTGAAGAAATATTGCTTCAAGCTATCTGATGTGCAGATTGTGATATTTTGATAGCATTATAATAGTACTGCAGCACAATATCATTACAAATATCATCATAATATTATCATATGTATTATTTTAGTGATATTTTAATGATATTATGAGGATATAATATCGTCAGAATGCTATCAATTCTCACACATTATGTTTGTAAGGTTTGGGTGAGCACAACCCTAGCTTCAGCTGATATGTTTGTAAATCTCCGCACTCCCTCCATTCTCATCTCTCTGTTTCCTTTTTCCCGTCGAACCTGCTCTGCTATTCAGTTGCAGGCGCCGGCGTAAGAGAGAAATGGGGAGCGGGAAGAGAAGCGAGAGCGGGGACCGAGCTTCGCTCAGATCCCCACAAGCTTTGGGCACGAACTTAGGGCTTGCCTCCGTTGCCGCCTGGTCAAGACCTACGACCAGGTGACATTCCGTTCCCCTTCGTTCATCGGTTTTTCGTTCTGCTAGTTAGGGTTTATTAGTTTACCCAATCCCTTTGGGTTATTGAGTCCGATATTTTAGTCTGTCCTTCCTCACAATCTTAGTTCCTTACTCCCTACTCCTAAACTCCGTACTTATAAATGCCGGCAATTTTTTGATCATATCGACAATGTAACTTAATTTGTAAGGAGTAATGCCTTGGTTTTTAACTTCTGCAAAATTGTCTTCTTTTGTGTGGCCTTCCGAGTTGCCAGCCGGCTTCATGGATTTGCTTTATGTGTTTCCTCCGCCTGGCTGTATTTGGTGTATCCAGGCATGCTCATGAAGTTGACAATATACCGTTAATGGCTTAAACTCTTTGTTTTTTGTTGCTTTGGAAGCTTTTAATGTTTCTATTGCACTGTCACAGTTTAGGGAATCGGGTTGTGAAAACTGCCCGTTCTTAGAGATGGACAAGGAGCATGACAATGTGGTGAACTGCACCACACCGAATTTTACCGGGTAGGTTAAACCACCATTCTTTCTGTGCGCAGGTTTCCATATCTTCCGCTTTATTGATATGAAAATGCGAAATCATTTTTGGGCTTTTCTTGTAGTTTTTTATTTTTATTATTTTTATTTTTTTAGGTTAATGGAAATGAACCTTTTTTTGTTATTAGCAGGGTTTCTATTCGAAACTTAAACTTTCTTTTAGTAATTATTCCAAAAACTTGGCATGTAAAACAATTGACTTGTGCTCAATGGATTGAGTAAATTGGGGGAAAACACTTCATAACATCTTGTAGTTGTCTGCAAGAGTATTGATTAATTCAAATTATTTGAACACAACAATAGCAAAAATTACAAAATGATGTCTTCGTGGCAATTCTATGAGATCTCCAATGCCATTGTTTTGCTGATATTTAAAACGCTAGTAAACTTAATATTTTTGTTTTTGAGCGCCTGATTATGAAAAAAAACTGATCGGTCCAAATCAAACTTAGACAAAAAACTTGTATGCAAATATATACTCTTATTTTTTATTCAGAGAATTGTTATTTTTAAGTCAAGTTGATAGTATACAACTTCATGCAAAGAACTGTATTTTCTAGAATTTTAATGACTGCTGGACCAGTTTTGTTCGGTAACCTTCCACAATAGGTAACCAGTACATAAATATGAGGTCTCTTTATTTATTCAAAGATTTGTAAATTTTAAGTCCGCTTGATTTTTATGACTATAAGCAGATAGTTTTATCTTCTCGAATTTCAATCACCGCTGAAACAATTTTGTTGTGTAACCTTCCACAGCAGTTTACATTCATCAGTATGTGCTGGAATATTCAAATCTAGGCTTCATCCTGTATTACTTATTGATACTGTTGGACCATCTTTTTTGTTCATAGTTTTCTCTAAGTTTAATATCGCAACAAAGTGGTTTAGAATCCTTATAATGCCAAATGCATATAGCAAATTGGCCTAGGAATAATGATGCGTAAGCTGATGGAACCAATTGGATTTTCAGCTTTACATGCAACCTAAGGTTTATTGGAAAATTTAGGTTATTTTGCTTAAAATCAAAAAATTATTATTTTACGGTTGTTCCATCCATCGCTTTGTTGCGAAAGACCAGACACATGCTATGCCATAAGGACCTTCATATTCTGTTGAGTGAGATTTTACAATGGGCTTGGGTTAATGGTTTGAATACTTTATTTCCTTAATCTTTATTCACGTAGAAATTAAAAAATTACGATACTAGTGAAATTGGACAAACTGGATATCTCACGAATGTGGGATTGCTGACAAAATTTCTTAGTTTTCTATAAAGCATGGATGGATAGCCTATGTGTAGACCCGTCAAAACTTTTGATTTTCTATTGCTGAATTAAAAGGAAGATGACCAGACATTAAATCAAATGTTTATGTAGTGAATTTTTTTAGTATTCATATCATTCGATAGTACTTATAAATCCAAGTAGAACTTCCGAAAGATTCACATTGTACTTCAATGTGAACTTTTCTTTAGACAATATAGCTTTGATCTGGTTTTGGCTTTTCGTTGAAGCTATAATGTACAAATGAATTCATTTTTTTTAAGGGGCTTTAATTGCCTCATAAGATTTAGCAAAATACAATTATGTTATATTCTTGCAATCTTTTCTATTGCTTTTTTATTTTCATGTAAAGAAAGACTAGAGCCTTTGTGTAGTTTTTGTAATTAGAATTAAGCTGACTATACCTAAGTACACAGATATCTCAGTGATTTTCGATCATTATCACATATAATCCAATATGCATATATTTAGCTGTTATGGAAATGACCAAAAGCTGGGTACCAGAGTGTGAAGAAAAATAGCTATTTCTTTCTTATTCCTCAATTGAAAATATATGTTCCATATTATATACGCTCCAACCTCTACAGATTAGGAGCATCTCTAATAGATTAAAGATCATATAATTAGATCTCTTTTAGTTAGATGCTTTAATATAGAAAATATATTTAATAGATTATCTATAATTAAGTTTCCTAATATATAAGCTTTTGAATATGCAACTATTAGATTTATTACTTTTCAAAGCACTTCCTTTCAAGCTATAGCATAGATATTTATCATGCATAACTTGTTAAAAATATAGGTGACCCTAGCTCCATCAAGGGCCTTTGTGAAGATGTTTCATAGTTGTCCCCCAGTTGTTGCATGAGCGGTATAAATTAAATTTTGTATTTTTTCACAAGCAAAATGACAATATATCTCAGTATACTTAGTTCGCTCATGGAAGACACAATTTGAAACAATATAAATTGCGGTTTGGTTATTACACCACAATTTCGATAGAACTATTATCTTATAACCCATTTTGGTCAAGAATTGAGAGATCCACATCAATTTACTTGAAACTTGTGCCATTGCTCGATACTTAGATTTTGAATTGGATCATGACACAACATTTTATTTTCTACTCTTTAACGAGACTAAATTACCACCAATAAAAACACAATATCCCGTAATGGATCTCTGATCAATATTGGAACCCACCCAATCTACATTAGAGAAACATTCAATATTTTCATGTCTATGATTTTAATATAGAATACCTTGTCCAGTAATTTCTTTGATGTAACATGGTATCTATTTCAAAACTTATCAATGATGGATTGTGGGGGATAACATTAACCGACTTATAATGCTAACTGAATAAGCAATATTGGGGCGAGTCTCTGTGAGGTAGTTCAATTTTTTCACTAACTTCCTATACTGGTCATGATCATTAAAAGACTCCATTCTTGGTCAGTTGCTGCTTAGGAAGCATTGAAGTACTGTATGGCTTGACCTCTAATGTTTTAGTTTCTACCGACAAATCCATAACTTCCATTGAGATTAAAAAATATCTTTCTTGCTTCTTGATATCTCAATCCTCAATAACTACTTCAAGGAACACGAATCTTTAGTGTTAAACTGATTTTAAAGAAATGATTTCAATGATAAGATTCCTTGCACATTGCTTTAATTAATAATATTGTCATCAACTTAAACCGCCAATAAATGATCCTAGAAGCATGTTGTGTTTATAGAATATAGTTTTTTTGCATCCCTAACTCTTTTACTGTTTGACTTAGTCTTCCAAATCATGCCCGATGGATTTGCTTTAATCCATATAATGAATTTCGAAAATGACAAACTTTACCAGACTCCCCTAGAGCAACAAACTCGAGGGATTGTTCCATGTATATTTCTGCTAAAAGATCACCATGCAGAAATACATTCTTCACATCAACTTTGTGCAGAGGCCAATTATGCATTGCGACCAAGGACAAAAAGAGATAAATTGAAGTCAACTTAGCTATTGAAGAGAACATGTCCAAGTCTTCAATCCAGTAAGTTTGAACATAATAGAGCATTGAGATGTGCTAAAGTTCTATCATAATAAAACTTCGTTGTAATGATTTATTTACAACCAAAAGCTTTATTGCCAGATGATAGCTCGACTATTTCCTTAGTTTCATTTTCAGTCAAGACATTCATTTCATTAAGCATTGCTACTTGCCACCCAGAATCGTATAGGGCTTATTGAACAGATCTCGAGACTCAACAGAGTCAAGAGAGACAATAAACGAGCACGAAGTAGAAGATAACTACTTATATTTAACACAAGAGGAAATGAGATAGACAAATGACGTTTATCTCTTCAAAGAGCAATAGATAAATCAAGATTACTTGAAAGAGGATCCACTAAAGAGGAAGATACAAGTGTCGAAGTAGGATTAGGGACGAGGTCTTCTAGAGTAAACATTAGTGATAGATGATCTAGGCTGAGACACTGATGGTGGAGGGGGAACTGAAGCGAGATTTGAATGGATGATGTATACATTGACAACTCGTCAAAATCTTGTGAAAATTTGAGCAATGATGTGTCATCAAAGAGTGGAGTTTATTCATGGAAGGTAAAATCAACATAAATAATGTACCTTTATAAGAGGGGAAAACACCGTTACTTTTTTAACAAACGAGAGTATCTTGGAAAAGCATAGCTTAATGACTTGGGGTATAGTTTAGAAATTGTAGATCAATATCACGAATAAAACAAGTGCACCCAAATGTACATTGTTCAATAGAAAAGAAATGGTTGGAAATAAAATTTGGGTAGTATATTTGATTTTGTAAAGCAATAGAAAACATTTGATTGATAAAAAAACATGCAGTAGAAACAACGTCAATCCAAAATCTTTTGAGCAAATTCAGTTGAAACAAAAGAGCTATAGTTGTCTCAAGAAGATGTCTATTTTTTCTTTTAACTACTCCATTTTGAGATAAAGTATTGACACATGATGACTGTTGAAACATGCCATTTTGTGTCATGTATGTTTGAAAAGATATAAAAAATTATTCTTTGACATTATCACTTATTAGAATTTTAATTGAAATAGTGACACCAAAAATATGTTGGATTTCTTACATGTATTTTTACTCATTTTTTGTGATATTGCACTTGCACTTTAAAGGAAGTATTGCACTTTAAAGGAAGTTATTTTTCATGTTTTGTTGTAGGTATGATGATTTTAGGTGAAAAGTGTGCAAGGGTCGCTATACTGGCGCCCGGGTATAGTGTTAACTAAGCAAGAGTTCCCACATTACGGGCGAATGCAGGTAAAGAAGTTAATCCATAAAGAAGTTAAAGAAGTTAATCCATGAAACTAATATTAGGATAAGATCTTGGAATATAAGTACTCTCAATGGTAAATTAATAGAATTAGTTGATATTATGATTCAGAGAAAAATTAATATCTTTTGTATTCAAGAAATTAAGTAGGTTGGAGAAAAGACCAAGAAAATTGATATTTTAGGTTTTAAACTTTGGTATTCTAGTAAGAGTCGCAATAAAAATAGTGTAGGTGTAATTATAGATAAGAGTTTGAAAGATAATGTTGTAAAAATTAATAGAGTTGGAGATAGAATTATAACCCTTAAGATTATCATTGATACTAAGATTTTTAATATTATAAGTGCTTATGCTCCTCGA